CCTGCCCCTGCCTCGGACCCTGCCCCTGGCTCTGCCCCGGCGGTCACCGCCCCCTGCCCTGCCCCGGGGCCTCGGAACCGGACTCGGACCCTGCCCCGGGGGCTCTGCCCCGGCCCTGGCTCTGGCCATGGGGGCTCGGGGGCGGCCCTGCATCCACTTGCCCGATGGGGGCAGCACCTGCCTCTCGGTGCCCTGGGCTGAGCCTCTGCCTCCCTGCGCGGGAGCTTCGGGCGGCAGCTGCGCCCGGCCCCGGGGAGCGCAGGGCCCGGGCCGGGCAGGCCCGTCTGCCCCGGCGAGGAGGCGCGAGGCCAGGGGCCGGCTCGGGCCATTGGCCGCAGCGAGCGCGGCGGGCTGCAGGATGGGGAGGGGGGGCTGGCCGGGGCGCTCCTCGCCCTGACAGACAGCTGCTGTAACTATGACAACGTGCCAGGCGAGACCCTCTCCCCATCGCTATGACAACGCCAGGAGCCAACTCCCCCGGCAGGCGGGGGGCACTGGCGCGCGCCGCTCCCGCCCCGTCCCGTCCCGGGGGAGCCCGGCGCACCAGCCTGGCTGCAGCCCGGTGCCTGGAGCCCGGCGCCGCGTGTCCGCCCTGCCCGCTGGGCGCCCGGCTCCGGAGCCGCCCGGGACCGGCCGCAGGTGCTGGCCAGGGTGCTGGGGGAGCCCGGGGCGGGCGGGCCGCTCCCCGCAGGCCAGCGGGTGCTGCAGGGCCGGGGGCGCTCGGGCTGCTCCAAGGCACAAGCCAGGGCCGTTTCAAACAGCCTCAGTGCGGGACTTGGGGCCGGGGCAGCAGCGGGCTCCGCAGGGCCACGGGGGCTGCCTCCGGCAGCAGGGACAGACGGGGGGGCAGCGAAGGGAAGTTCCTGGGCAGGTGATCTGGACCCTTCAGGAAAACCAGAGCTGCGGAGGGAGGGGAGCGGCTGGGGCCGAACACCCCGAGCGCCCCCCAGTCCCTGGCATTTCCATCCCGTGGCTGCAGGGAAACCTGCCCAGGGAGGAGGGCCCGGAGCCTGCACCATGTGCGGTCATACACAGCTAAGTGCTAAGCTAGGGATCCGCCTGGCAGCGCCTGCACCCGCTGCGCCCTCCCTGCATCCCTGTCACTGCGTGTGGGCTGGGCCCAATGTCACCTGCCCCTGCTGGTCCCTGAATCCAGATGGGAGCCAGGCTCCAGGCTGCATGTCTGCAGGGAAAGGGTCATGGGAGTGTCACCTGGGTAGCTCTCTGTGCCACCCTTCCCCATCTCCTTCGCTATCGCTTTCTCTCATCCCTTCTTCTCTTTCCCTCTCTCAGCCCCTTCCCCACTGCTCTGTCTCCCCCTCTCCTTTTCTCACACTACTTTCTAATTAGATGGGAGAGCCAACCCGAGTCAGCAGTCGGGGGTGTGATCAGTGAGAACACAGGGCACACTCCCACCAGCCTCCTTCCACCATTGCAAGTCAGCCAGTTCTCACAGAGGCATTTTTGCACTTGAGTGTTGGAACAAGTTCAGTCTGAAGCCAAGCGAGTGGGGAGCACGGCAGAGCCTCTCTCTGTTTGCAGCTGGGAGTCCCCCCATCCCCAATGGATGCAGGCACAGGCCTCCCAGAAGGAGATGTTTGAGCGCACAGACACCAAAGAATGAACCACAGATTTGGGCCTCAGGTTGGAAGGTGTAAATCACTAATAATTCTCTCCACCAAGGGCCTGCTGTGGAGAGTGGCGGGGAGACGGGCCCAGCAGATTAGAGTTTGGGAGCTTCATAAAGTCTCTGTCAACCCAAAAGCTAAGAGAGTTTTTGGCGAGCTAGTTGGGGTGATTTGCCTTCTATACAGCTTTGATTGTGGACAAACTGGAAAGAGTCCAAACAAGAGCAACAAAAATGACCCAGCCTGTAGAAACCTTGACCTGTGAGGAAAGCTTGAGACAACTGAGCATGGTTAGTTTTGAGAAAAGAAGCCAGAGCCTGAAAACAGTCTTCAGATATGTGCAGGGCTGTTTTAAAGAGCACTGCGCTCAATTGTTCTCCATGGCCAGTGAAGGAAGTAATGGGCTTAATCTGCAGCAAGGGAGATGTAGGTTAGCTATGAGGAAACACTTGTAACTCTGCGGGGAGTTGAGCTCTGGGACGGGTTATTGAGGGAGGATGTGGAATTCTCATCATTGGGGGGTTTCAGAACAGGCTGGACAAACAGGGATCAGGGCTGATCTAGGGTTCCTTGGTTCTGCCTCAGCGCAGAGGCTGCACTAGATGATTTCTCGAGGTCCCTTCCAGCCCCGCATTTCTCTGAGTCTGCGATGTGAACATCACGAGTGTGGTTACTGTTCTTTCCACACACACTGGGAATGCTTCCAAAGACGGAGCAGCCCAGTGACTGTACTCGCCTGGAATGTACAAACCCCTCCGCAGCCCTGGGAGAATAAGGGTCCTGGGCACATTGGTGGGATGGTGTGAAATGGGGGTGTGAGATGAGCCCACTATTGGACGAAGTCTGTCCAGAGTGAGGCAAGCACTGATTACTCAAGCGCTGAGTAAGGGAGTGTGTGGTGCAGCTGTCACTCAACCTGTGTAGGGGAGGGAAGGTCTAATTTAATTAGTTTGTAATCAAATGTCAGAGAAGTCCAAATGCAGCAGCGAGTGTGTCAGTGTGCGACGCCAGCAAGAGGCTCCAGGCCTGCGGGGCTCCAGCAGGGAGATCCCCTGGGACAGCTCCACTCCTCTGGGGCAGTGAAGCCCCAGTGCCCAGCGAGGCCAGCGAGAAGGCCCTTCACCTGTGCAGTGCCCAGACAGGGGAGAGGAAGCTGAGCCTGAGTGTCGTCAGAGTGCACTGCCGGGCCCAGCACGTAGGATAAGGCACCCCCTGACTGATGGTGGTTTGCAGGAGAGTGGAGCCTCTGGACTTAGGAGAGGCAAAAAGCAGAGCCCACTGGGGCCCCTTTATGAGAACTGTAATTCCTGTCCCAGGTGCTCCGAGACTAATGTGAGGGGGGCCTTAGAGATAGCAGTCCGGGGCTAGGGAGCAGAGCCCTGAGCACTAGCCAGGTGGTGAATGTGACAGAGGCCCTGATGCACTTCAGCAAACCCTGATCGAGCCCCAAAGCTCCTGCCCAATGCGCCTGTGTTTTCTCTCTCTCCTGCCCCATCCCTGCCGGCCCAGGAGCTCTGTATGTAAATCTTTCTCTTTTCCAGCCAAACTCTTCCTCCTGCCCGATTCGCTCAGTGACGTTGCATCCAAGGGTTGTGTGAAGTGGGTCTCCAGGGAGCCCCTTCTTCCTGCCCTTGTCCCTCCCTAGAGCACAGTCCCATTGGTGAGGTTACAGCTGGATGCTGATGTTACAGTCATAGATGGATGAACTGAATCCAGCCAATCTGTGGATCAGGGTCCCATGTCTGAGGGATCCTGACCCCTGCCTGGTTTTATCCGACAGAGAGGGCTCCTGCTGAGCATGTTGACCTCATCCTGAGCCTGACAGACAGAGAGTTGAATGCCTGTCAGTGCAGTGTCAAAACAGCAGCCTCCTAAGGGGTGGGGAAGGGAGGGGATGAGAGAGAAGGGCTTGGGGGCGCTGCAGGCACAGCGATGGCCAGAGCTGGTCCTGAAACCCTCCTTGATGGGGTTTTTGGTCCATTGCCCCAGAGCGCCTGATCCAGGGATTTAGAGATCAGACCATTCCCAGACAGCTTGTTCCAGCAGAGCTCCATGGCACAGCTGAGAGGGGGCCCGGCACATTGCTCAGGGGATGTCAGGCTTCTGTCTGGGGTTTGAGGGAAAGGGTTCGTTGTTTAGGGCCATATGAATTGCTATCGCAGGACCACCTTTTGCTAGGGCTCTAATTAGCAGGAGGATATGAGGCAGGTTTCTTTGGGTTCTGGTGATTGCAGGAAGTTAATCCCACACAATGACAATCTGCCCAGCATTTCTCTGCTCCAGCCAGGGCAGTTGTGGAGGAACGGCTTTCCCTTCAGACGGGGCTGGGACTGAGGACAGGCCATGAGGACGTTTAGTGCTGTGGAGAGAAGCTGAAGGAACAGGCAGCCTTGTCTACGCACTTACATAATTTGTTTTGAAAACGCAAAGAGCCCTGAGAGCAAGTAGGTCCTGGCACATGCTTTGGGATTGGGACCCGAGGGCAGGTATGAAGAGAGACTTGTGTGGTGAAGGAAAGCTGCAGCCCCGTGTAAGGAAGGGGGCCCCTTCAGGCAGTATTTGGTCACCCATTACACCTCATTTTGGGTGCTAGGGAACTGGCAGGTTGGGGGGCACCATCAGTCCCCCATTAGAGGTGGTCCCTTGCAGGTGGCCCAGCCTTGGAGAGGGGAATCCATTCACTGTGAGGGAGCACTAGAAAAGACGTTGTTTTTGCGGCGATGGGAGGCCCGCTCCGGGATGAGCATGCAGGAGAGGGGCTGTTGGAA